GGCCCAAAAAACCGTTCGCTAGACTTTCACCAGCTCCTGTGGTTTGTGCTGAGCGGTGGTGTGGTCGGGTCCCTTGTCTCTCTGAGGGGAGACGAGGAGGGGGGGGGGGGAATCGATCGAGACAAGTTGACCCCGTCCGTGGTAGCATTTTCGGGTTTGAACCAGTGACCCAATGAGCGCCCCAAAGCGGCCAGCTTGGAAAAGCCGGTCACTTAGTCGGGGCTCCCGGGGGCCCAGTCTGATGGGGGTGTCAGAAGTAGCAGCCTGGTACCGCCTCAGGGGCCACATGTACCCCCAACTCGAACCAGGGTATGGTCATCATCTGGTTTTCGGGGATGGGGTCGGCGTGGGATGTTCAGGAGACGAGGCGGGGCAGAGGGGCGGGCTCCCTGCTCGTGAGAGTGGGTGGATGGCACTCGAACAGACGGACGGCTCAACGTTCTGGCGGTGACAAGTGTGATTGATGGGCTTGACTGCAAGAAATCCGGGGAAGCCAGCGATCAGGAGGGCCAATCCATTTGCGAGACATTATTCCAGTGCTTGCTTCATTGTCTAAACAAGCAAGTACGGCCACTAGAGTTCGAGGATGGGTTGAGCTGTCAACTGCCGTAAGAGGGTGTTTGCCAGCGACTGAGACACACTGTTCCGCAAGTTGGGGACTTTCGGCGGAGAAGACTTGATTGGGAGATGGCGTTCGGGCACGTACTGGAAACCAAGTCCAGGATGTGAGAGAAACAGTCGGTCTGATGCCTGGAGCCCTGGGAATTAATTCTGGCCCTAGGTGGGTGGACAGGACAATTCGTGGACCGAGGCGTGGGCTCAGCGATTGCCTACATGTACCCCACCAGCAGCATGGTGCAGGCATCTGACGATGACGACGGCGACGGCGACGGCTGGCAAGCAGAGTGTGCTTCGTAGTCGTGATACTCAGCGCCCGTGACGAGCTACGCGCCTAGACCAGAAGATAGAGAGAGGGAACCAGGACTGGAAGAGGTGATAAGCCGGGGGCGGACTGAGATGCTTTCGGCTGGCGAGGACTGTGAAAGAATGAGCACTGTTGCCAGGTGCTGCAGATTTGGAAGGCCTCGCCTCGCTCGGGCTTCAATTGTGGCGGGGAAGGGACATCAAGCTCAGCCAGGCAAGTACGAAAAAGGCGGACAGGGCAGACAGGGAGGAAGGGATGAGTGAGGGGTGCAGCTGCAGGCTGCATCTGTCTGCATCTGCTATGATACAGCGGGGTCTAGGGTGCCACTGCCAGGCGCTGGGGAAAAAGGGCAAATGCGCAATCCAGCGTGCAGGAAGGATCACCGGGGGACGCCTTCCAAGCCTTCCAGCTTCCAAGCCTTCTTCCCTGCAACCTATCCCATCCGTCTCGGGTAGCGTGGTTCTGCGTGGGGGTAAAAGAATTCTGGACACGGGGGCCACGCCCTTGTCTGCACCCCCCTGAGCACCACACTGTTGCCTTCGTTTCCCCGACTCCCCCGTTCCGTTGTCACCAGCTCTTGGGTCTGGATCGGGGTCTGGGTCTTGGTCTGCGGCTGACTCGAATGTGCTGCCCTGTGTGCTCATCACACGCGACCTTCGGGCGATGCAGCGGGCGGCAAGAAATCCCACGCAACAATTCTCCGAAACGTCAACGATGGGCCGCTGTATTTTCTGAATCTGACACGAATTCCATACACATGTTTCTTACACAACGCATCACTCAACAGCTGGCCATGAATGGGTGATTGTACGCATCGCAACAGGGCTGCCACGTGCCGCTGTTTGGGGAAGCCTCCAGACAAACCCAAGGTAGTGGATGCTCCCAGTCATTCCTTCAGGTCATTTCCGTCGCCGTCCGTCTTTCACACCAGCCAAAAAGAAACAGAAGGGTGCAAACTCTCTCCACAGTGTACTTTTGCATTCATCCCTCCATTACATCATGGCCTCTTCGATGTGTCTCCGGCTGGCCGCATGCATCATTGTTTCGTAGGCCTCTTGTCTCCTTTTGTTGCTGGACTGAGCCGGATCAAAGAAGAAGCAAAGGGTATCCGGCCTCGTTGAAGTAGACCCCCCCCCCCTCCCAAACCTTTCAACACAGCTGAGCCCGCCCAGGCTGGAGCACCTATGACGGTGAGCACCGCCAACCATGACCTAATGGCTGCCCCAAGATGGGCTATGTTGTGGAAGGGGATCCTTGTCGCAGCCCTGCACCCGGGCTTCGAACCAAGGTCACGAGTTCCGAGCAAACCTGAGGACGCCCCATTTCCCATTCCCTGGCTTCGGCTCGGCTGGGGATCCGGCTGGCTGGCAATGGGGGGGCCTCTGACGCGGGACTGTTTGATCTCATGTGCCTGGGACTTTTCCTCCTTTGACCCCCCATCCTCTCCATAGATTATCGCGGTCTAATCCGCGAGACCCGGCGAGCCCTCCCACGCTGCCAATCAAGCGATCAATGTGTCGTGCGTCGTGAGTCGCGGTATTCTTTCCGGAATCCAGGTTGTCTCCGCAAGCCTCCGCTTCGCCCCCAATGACCCCCACGCAAACCCAACGAATATTTTTATCCGTCAAATCCGTTGCTTCACTACGCCCCATCGTCAGAACACGAGAATCTATGCGGTCTTTAGGGTAAAGTACGGTAGGAAGCCGACACGGCTCACCGCTCAAACGTTTCATGTACGATACCACGTCAGTATATGATGTCCCGCATCGGGTCTCCTGCGTCGACCCTATCTTGGTTCGAGCCGCAGGAGGCTCGACCGTCTCGCAGGGCACTTGTTGGGGGTCTTTGGTTCCTTTCTTCAGCAGAGATCGGCAAATGTCCGGATATCCCACCGTGTATTTTGGCGAAGCGAGGCCTCGGATTCAATAGCCTTCGGAGACTGGTCCCGGTCACATTGACGTGGCTGACCGTCAGCAATATCCGTCATACAGCATATACTACCATGCTCTCATGCCACGGCGAAGCCTGGGCTGGCAGACGCAGTCAACAACCCAGTCTCTGGCCTGTCACCACGGCTGTTCGCAGTCATGGGATCATCTGCCGTGCGTCCGCCGAAGGCCACTTCATCTACTGGATATTCAACTGGTTGGAAGGCCCCCCCTCGCGTGAGGAAGGGGGGACAACCGGCCTGCTGCAGAGAATAAACACATGGCTGCCCAACGTAGCCGGGCTCAAAATCTGCCCGATGCCCCCAGCCGGCGATGGCCCCGCCCTAAGGCTTCCTTCAGCCGTTACATCTGAGGTTTTAGCAGCGTCACTGTTCCAGTCGACATTCCATCTTGATCGTCCCGTACCTTGGCAAGCCTTGCAGGTGCGGCGGTAGGGGTGTTGTGAAGTCGCGTAGGAGTTCCTTTTTGTACCAGCGAAAGAGCGCATGTACCTCCAACAGCGTCCCATGTCACGGTTGCTTTGGCAAGTGTTATATCGAAGAAGCCGACCTCTCACAGTGATGCTACCGATGCATTTCATGGAGCCTGTCGTGCCCTCTACAATCTCGCCCTCAGTGTGGCTGCAACCCCGCGTTGGGCATTGTCCAATTGTGGCGCATCACGATCACGTGACGCGAAGGAACATCACCCATCCTTTACGTCGGTCGAGCTCACGTGCGCCGACAATCGAAACAGCCGCTCCAGTGGCCGATGTCAAAACCATATAAGTCTGGAGCACATGAGGAGCCTCATCTTGCTGTCCGAAATGACGCGAGCTTTGGCTCCTGTTGAGCTGCATCACGCAGGTCAGACACAAGAGTTCAGCCTCAGTACAAGGCAGACCCAATGATCGGCGCTCAGACCATCAAGATGGCTGGTCCTTCCCCGCTTACACGCGGTTGGGTTGGCCTGAACCTGCCCGCACGCATCGCACCGAGCTGCAGTCAGATCCATTCAGCTGGGCAAGAGCCAATAACCTTAGCTGTGACCGCCGACCCCTCCTTCCCAGTGTCACTGTCATGCGTTCTTCAATACTTTCCAGGTTACCCTCTTCGAGAGCCCTGAGAGCTTCCACATCCCTTCACACAAGACCCCTGATCAGTCTCCCTCACACACGAGCCAGCTGGCAGAGATTTTCTACCACAACTACAACCATGAACACCCAGGAACTCGCGCAGTACCTGGCTGACGCCCCTCCCAGCGTCGTGAGACTCGAGATTGAGAAGCATTTTGAGCCTTTGACCGACAAGCAGAAGCGTTATGCTCACTTCATCAGCAGGTACGAGAGAGTCAGAATCGCAACGCTTCAGGATGAGGCTCTGCCAAACTTCTTGAAGACCATCCACCACTGACCCTGATGCAGAGCATCTCTCGCTGGTAACCGCATTGTCCTTAGACAAGTTTCGCCTGAATCGGAGGCCATCTATGACTTGATTATCAGTCTGCACAGCTCGTCTGGCGGCGACTGGGAGGCCCTCGGCAAGAAGGCTGGAATCAATGAGACCCAACTGACGCAGTTCCTCGAGTACGCTGCTCAGTTCCTTGGCAACAGCGGCAACTATAAGAGCTTCGGCGACTCCAAGTTTCTTCCGAGATGCGACGAAAGCACCTTCGTCGCGTTGGCGAAGACCAGCTCCAAGGCCGAGGCTTTCTACAAGGCTACCAATGGCGGCATCTTCAGCGCTGACAAGCCTGGCCTGCTGCACCTTGGCTTCCCAGACAAGGGGCATCTGACGACATATTACCCTGATTCCCCAGACATTACTCAGTCTGAGATTGAAGCTGTCTCGGCATGGATGGAGAAGAAGGGTCTGTTGCCCGAAAACAACCGTCTTCGCAAGGCCAAGGACGGCAACTTCGAGCTCCTCATCGCCTCGGCTGTCACCAGTATCCCCAATGAGGGCGGTGATATTGGCAAGGACACTCAATTCACCGTGGAGGACGGCCTACTGAAGGGCAAGACAATCAAGCTTGTCTATGGCGATTACGCTGCCGAGATGAAGGCTATTTCCGAATATATCACCAAGGCCGGCGAGAACAGCGACAACGAGACGCAGGCAAAGATGCATGCCGCCTACGCCAAGTCGTTCCATGATGGATCTCTCGTATCATTCCTGGAGAGTCAGAGGCAGTGGATTCGTGACAAGGGCCCATGGTCGAGTCGAACATTGGCTTCATCGAGACATACCGAGACCCGGCTGGCATCCGAGGGTGAATGGGAGGGTTTCGCAGCAGTCGTCAACCTGGAGCGAACTCGGGCCTTCGGCGAACTCGTCAGTTCTGCCCCGGCTCTGATTCCACTCCTCCCGTGGAGCAAGGAGTTCGAGAAGGATAAGTTCCTCTCGCCGGATTTCACTTCTTTGGAAGTCCTGACTTTCAGTGGATCCGGAATCCCCGCAGGTATCAACATTCCTAACTACGATCTCATCCGTCAAAGCGAGGGATTCAAGAATGTGTCTCTTGGCAACGTTCTCAGCGCCAAGGCCCCGAACGAGAAGATTCCGTTCATCTCCGAAGCCGATCTTGCTGTTTACCAGAAATACCGGGACCCTGCCTTCGAGGTTCAGGTTGGTCTGCATGAGCTTACGGGCCATGGATGTGGCAAGCTCCTCCAGGAGACTTCGCCCGGTACCTTCAACTTCGACAAGGAGAATCCTCCCATCAGCCCCCTGACCAACAAGCCTGTAACGACTTGGTACAAGCCCGGCCAGACATGGGGTTCTGTTTTTGGCAGCCTTGCTGCCTCTTACGAGGAATGCCGAGCTGAGCTTGTGGCCATGTACCTTGGCTGCGAGTTTTCTGCGCTCAAAATCTTTGGCTTTGGTGATGGGAGCGTTGACATGGATGGCGAGGCTGGTGACGTCCTGTATGCCGCCTATCTGTCGATGGCGCGCGCTGGCCTGGTATCTCTTGAGATGTGGGATCCTCGCAGCCAGAAATGGGGCCAAGCTCACTCGCAAGCCCGCTTCTCCATTCTGCAGTGTTTCCTCCAGGCCGGAGACGATTTCTGTGTGCTGGATTACAAGAAGGACGACCTTACCGATCTGGAGATCAAGCTGGACAGGTCCAAGATTCTGACTACCGGCCGTGATGGTATGTTACCTGCCTTGATATTTCTTTTCGTTTGATGGCTACTACCTGAGACTAACCACAATATCTCTAGCTGTCGGCAAATATCTCCAGAAGATCCACATTTATAAGGCAACCGCCGACGTCGAGGCGGGCACTGCCTTCTACAAAGAGATGACCAATGTCGACATGGACTTCTGGGGCACCAAGCTCCGGAACGTTGTCCTGCAGAACAAGCAGCCGCGTAAGGTTTTCGTCCAAGCCAACACATATCTCGATGAGGCGACAGGCAAGGTTAGCCTGAAGCACTACGAAGCATCCCCGGCGGGCATGATTCAGAGCTGGGCGGATCGCGAGGCCTGACTGCCCCAGACCGGTTGGCGATGTGGGCACATGATTGGCAAGCTGTGACGTGAGTAAGCGTTGAATTATCAAGCATCAGATACGGGACAGGCGAAGTTGGTGTCATCAGGTCATGTAGAACTAGCATGGGTAAGGCAGCGGGACCTCCACTCAAGGGCGTGGGGTTATCTATCAACAAGGGGCTGCACAAAGCAAGCAGCGTAGAGAACGAAACAAACTTTCGAGAATCCTTTCGCATTGTGTGCTTCTGGGTATCGTGGACCGACCGCCGACTTGCAGCCAGCCCGCCGAGCCCAACGAATGCCCTTGACCCTCAAAGGAGAACCATGGAACTTTTGGTTTGCTTTGCTTTTTTTGAAAATGCCAATTCGACCGACCAGAGGGCCCGGGTGTTTTATCTTCGTTGTTGATTGTGAAGAACCTCATTACAGACGCCAAATGACCGATGCCGTCGAGTTCTCAAATGCATTTTGGCAAAACCAGCCCTGTCCTGAAAGCCCGGATCTTCGTTTGTCCCTCTACAAGCTCTAGCCTGCCTTCATCAGCCGCCGACCCCTTAAGACGAAGCCACACAACACCCTTCCCAAGCCGGATATCCGCGTTGTTCGTCATGATGTGGCACGTTTACCACTTCATCTCGTGGGGCTTGTCGCCCTTTCGCAGGCTGAAGGTGCTGGACAGGTAGCTGGCGAGCAGGTCGACCTTCTTGATGTTGGCCAGGAGAGCCTTGTCGATGGCCTTCTGGTCGGCAGCGCGGCTGCTGTTGATCTCCTTCTTCTGTGGGCAATTTATGAGCATTTCTTTTCTTTTTTCCGACTCACGATTCTCGTTTGGTTCGAGCTTACCTTGGGAGCCTCGCCCTGCTTGAAGAAAGCCTCCTCGCCGGCCTTCTCTTTGGCCTTCTCGGCGGTGAAGTACTTGGGCGCGGAGACCTCCTCGAGCTTCTTCTCGTCGACACCGGAAACGTCAACCTTCTCGGATGTGGCAATGACGTAGCGGGAGTTGACCCTGCGGAGGGGGACGCCGTTGATCTTGAAGGGGCCGGTGACGAGGAGGACACCCTGGTCGAGGGTCTTCAGGAGAACGACACGCTTGCCGCGGAAGCGGCCGGCGAGCAGGATGAGGACGGTGCCAGGCACGAGGGTCTGGCGGGGAGTCCAGGGGCGGACGGCCTTGCGGACCTATGGGCAAAATGTGTTAGTCGTCTGTGCTGCCATGTGTGCTGGGAGGGTAGGCTTGAGGAGCGGCGGATGCGTTCGTTCTTGTGCTTAAGCGCAGAAGCGCCCGGGGTTGCGGAAGTTGGTCGCTTTTGGAGGGTGAAGGGGCAAACGTGATATTCGACCTTCATGGTGCTCGCCTCGCGCGCGCAACCACTCAGGCGAATTGCCCGAATCTCTCCCCCAAAATTATCCCAAAATTCATTGCGCGTTCGCCCGGTCGATCGCATCCGCACGCTCTGTTGCTGTCCCGCTGCGATATCTCTGCCGTCACCGAGGACTCACCTTCTTAGCCTGGGGCTCATCGTCGGCAGGGTACCACTTGGAGGCCTTCTGGGAAGAGGCGGGGACCTCCCGGGTGCCCTTGCCGAACTTCTTGGTCGTGGATTCCGCCTTGGTCGACATTTTGAGGGGATCGCGTCGTCCTTTCCGGGGGATTTCGTCGAGGGGTTGGGGGGTGAAAGGGACGAGGTTGTCGTGGATGCAGGTGAGTCTGGTCGGTTTTGCCGAATCGAATTTTTGAGGGCCACTTAGGCGAAGTGTGCGAAGACGAAAACCTGCCCTTTGGCGCTAAGCCCTGTATGGAATGGCGCGCACCGCCATGTTCAGTGGGGTACTGTGGCTGGTGCCCGAAATTCTGGGCTGATAAGATAAGAGCTTTTTCTGGGTCCAGGCTAGACTGGGGCTACAGGGCGAAGGTGCGAGAAACTGCTCCAGGGTGCTCCAGGGTGCTCGAGCTCTGGCGTGACATCAGGAAGGGAGCTGTCAGTGAAGATATCTATCGCGTGTTGCCCCTTTCCGCTGGCTTGGACCGCGGCGAATTCTTCTTTCTTCTCAGTCGCAATCATCTCTCGTCGGTTCATCGTTTGTCTGCGCAGACACGATGCAGGCTCGAAGACAACTCATCACATCCGCCCGGCGGTTCGGGCTCATTACTTCTCCACTATCAAGATCATCTCGACCACTGCTATCAAGGACTGTCCTCAATGACATCACTACCCATAGCGCTCAACGCCTTCCCGCTGTCGCCTTCAGGGCATATGCATCAGGCCGCGGGCCACATCCCCCGGGTGGCACTCACCGCATGGACATGGGCGGAGGCGAGCCCGAGAAGCCAGCATTAGAGCAATTTGGTATCGATTTGACACAGAGAGCGAAAGACGGCAAGCTGGATCCTGTAATTGGGCGAGACTCAGAAATCCAGCGAACCATCCAGATTCTTTCGCGCCGTACTAAGAACAATCCAGTTCTCATCGGAAATGCAGGCACAGGCAAGACAGCCATCCTCGAAGGTCTCGCCTTGCGAATCGTTCGGGGTGACGTTCCTGAAAGTGTCAAGAACAAAAGGGTCATTTCGTTAGACCTTGGCTCCTTGATTGCTGGTGCTAAGTTTCGGGGTGACTTTGAGGAACGTTTGAAAAAAGTCCTCGATGAGGTTCAGAAGGCCGAGGGCGAAGTCATCCTCTTCATCGACGAGCTACACACGCTCCTTGGTCTCGGCAAGGCCGAAGGCTTCTATTGATGCCTCCAACCTGCTGAAGCCAGCACTCGCAAGGGGTGAGCTCCAGTGCTGCGGTGCGACTACACTGGACGAGTATCGACAGATTGAGAAGGATGTCGCTCTTGCGAGGCGCTTCCAACCCATCATGGTCAATGAACCCAGTGTCCAGGATACCATTAGCATTTTGCGTGGCATCAAGGACAAGTACGAAGTGCACATGGTGTTCGCATCACTGATGGCGCCTTGGTTGCTGCCGCCACCTACTCAAACCGCTACATCACCGACAGGTTCTTGCCAGACAAGGCCATCGATCTGATGGACGAAGCTGCAAGTCATTTGAAGCTACAACACGAATCAAAGCCCGAGGACATCATGGCTTTGGACCAGAAGATTATGACGATCCAGATCGAGTTAGAAAGTCTACGGAAAGAAAAGGATGTCGCCAGTCGCGAGCGACGCGAGAAGCTCGAGACCGATCTCAAGGCACTTCAGGAGGAGATATTGGGACTGACAACCCGATGGGAGAAGGAGCGTGCTGAGATTGAGGCCGTCAAGAACGCGCAGGAGGAGCTCGACAAGGCAAAGGTGGAACTAGATGTTGCTCAGAGAGAGGGCAACTTTGGTCGAGCTGGTGAGCTGCGGTACAGTGTCATCCCCTTCCTGGAGGAGAAAATCCCCAAGGAAGAGGACAAACAGGATGGCTCCCTTATTCACGACTCGGTTACCGCAGACGACATTGCTGCTGTGGTGTCCCGCATCACAGGGATCCCCGTCTCGAAGCTCACTTCTGGCCATATACAGAAGCTGGTTCATATGGAAGATGCCCTCCAGGCGTCAGTCCGTGGCCAGGATGAGGCCATCAAGGCGGTGTCGAATGCTGTACGTCTTCAACGAGCGGGTCTTAGCGGCGATAACCGGCCCCTAGCCAGCTTCTTCTTCCTGGGCCCAACAGGTGTGGGCAAGACGGAGCTTTGCAAGAAACTTGCAGGCTTTTTGTTCTCGACAGAGTCGGCAGTCGTTCGCTTCGACATGTCCGAATTCCAGGAAAAGCATACCATCTCGCGTCTGATTGGTGCTCCATCCGGCTATGTTGGCTACGAAGACGCTGGTCAGTTGACAGAGGCTGTTCGTCGCAAACCCTACGCCGTCTTGCTCTTCGACGAGTTTGAGAAGGCCCATCGCGATATCTCAGCTCTCCTGCTCCAAGTTCTGGACGAGGGTTATCTCACCGACGCCCAGGGTCACAAGGTCGACTTTCGAAACACCATCATCGTCTTCACCTCCAACCTAGGTGCGGATATTCTTGTCGGAGCCAACTCCTCTCACCCCTACACCGAGACTGAAGACGGCGACGTGAGCCCCGACGTGCGCAAAGCCGTCATGGATGTTGTGGCAAGCGCCTATCCCCCCGAGTTCCTCAACCGTATCGACTCCTTCATCGTTTTCAAGCGGCTCGCCAAGATGGCCCTCCGCGACATTGTCGACATCCGCCTGCGCGAGCTACAAGCTCGTCTTGACGATCGGAGGATCACTCTCAATGTGTCTTCCGACGTACGGGACTGGCTTGCTGAGCGAGGCTACGACCCACGCTTTGGCGCTCGTCCGCTGAACAGGCTCATCACCAATGAGATCGGCAACGGGCTGGCAGACCGCATCATCAGGGGCGAGCTGAAGATGGGCGAGACTGCTGAAGTGGTCATTAAGGAAGACGGATCGGGACTTGAGGTGAAGAGTAGTGTTGCGGGTGCCGAAGCAGAGGGATCTACTCCCGCTTGATCGAATATGCGAGGTTTGTAGTAGAGGTAATGGCGTAATGGCTTGGGGTGGGGGCGCGATGGACACTTCGCCTATGTTGTAAATGCTTGTACCATCTTTGTATATCATGGATTGTTCAAAACTAAGATACCATACTTTTCAAATAGACTTTGCTATTACCGAATATCGTGACGCAGATTAGCGATTGGTGATCGAGCCTTCCAATTAAGACCGGATCCAGTTTCGATCTTCGAGGCCCAAGTGGCAGCTTCAGCCCGTGCAAGCCAACCCTTGTCAGATACAGGGCAATGGAAAAGTGTCATTGCTGGGCATTATTCTGCCGATTTTTTACGGAAAACCTTGTGCGAACCGTATGTCCTAAGTGGTATGCAGTGTTGAAGGGATACCACTCGGAAACAGTAAGCTCCAGATAACATGTCACCCAGGCGCAACAATCACGTGGGACAGATTCTGAGTTGGTATCGCGCCAGTGACATCAGCAAGTGAATAGAGTCAGATGTTGACCATGGCGCATCGAAACCGTTATACACGCTCCTTCCAAGCATTTCGGCCCAGACCCAGCCTTTTTCATGGCATGCAAATCCCCCAACCCAGTCGTACGCCATCGTAGCTCCATTGAGGAGCAGTTGAGTAGAGATAAAAGACTACCCTGTTTCGAGAACTCCACTTCTGCTCACATTACACCAACCTCTTCACCTCGAAGAACCTCCGCAACCACCAGACCTGGAAACCCGCCTCGCCCACGACAAGAGTGATGACGAACAAGTTCCACCACTTGACACGGCTGTTGGTGCTCTCGGCAGTGTTGCGGTGCGTGCGCTCGCGGATAACGATGTAAGATTGCTCATCCTTGACCTGGGCAAGGAGCTCGGACATTTTGCGGACTGAAAGACACGGTCAGCTTTTACAAGTCCCAGACTGTACCGCTTTTTGGCTCCTGGAATTGCACAAACCTTCCTTCTCGAGCGGATCGCTGGGCACATCGGATTCGCTGACATAGACGATGCCGTGAACGTTGAAGGAGACTTCCTTGGTGTGGGCACCCCAGTGCTCGTTTCCGAAGCAGTAGGTGTACTTTCCGTCGTGTTTCGCGTCAAAAGTGTAGTCGCCGTTGGAGATGCCATTCTGCTGGGTCTCGTACTGGCCCCTGGGGTTCTGGATCTGTTAAAAAAGGGGGGTGGGTCAGCTAGATCGTATCTTCCATTGCAGGAAGCAGCGCGACTGCTGGCCGGCGCATTGGGAGACGTGGCGCGTACCCAGAAGTTGATGTCGAGGTTGCCGGCGCTGCCAAACTCGCGGTCGCCGACCTGGAAGGTGACGGTCATCTTGTCATCGCGACGCAGAGACTCGTGGAAGCACTCGCGGCCGTGGGCGGGGAGCTGGATGTTGTGGCCGAGGGCGGACTGGAAGAGGCCAGCTGCGAGGAGCAGCTTGGCGACGGAGGCGAAAAACATGGCGGGCAGATCGAGGGCACGAGATGGCTGCCTGGCGAAGAGGTTTCGACCGAAAGGAGTGTGGGGGGTTGAAGTTGTCGTCGTGGCAGAAGCCTTGGTTAGCGAAGTCAAGAAAGCCAGCAGACGCCCTGTTCTGTCGTAGCTGTCTCGACATCCCTGTCGGGACACCTTTCAACGGGGGGTTGAGCCAAAGGGGATTAGCGCGCTAGACGGCCTGGGCCGAAGTTCTTCCTGGGCTCGTCGGGAGGACGAGGTACCTAATGTATCTAAGGGGGTCGTTGCCATGGCACGTGATAACGAAACGGTTTTCTCTAGTTATTCATTAGTCTGTGGCATGCTGGAGGCTGGAGGCTGGAGGCTGGTAGGCAACAGGCAGCATCAGTGGCCTGGATACCGCTCAGGGTGGGTCTCCAGAGTTCGAAGATGCCCGTGCTGGCCTGTTACAGGGAGCGTGGAGGACCGCTCACTGCACCGATGATGCCCTGGAAATGGCACTGACCAACAGAGAGCGTAAGCCCGACCCTGAACCTGCGCCCCCCATTCTGCCATCCTGGCTTCTGGCTGGGGGGGAAGGAGGAGGGAGGGGCTCCAGTCCAGTCCACTTCTCCATCACGCTCTGCTCCTGCCTCTGCCTCTGCCTCTGTGCTTTGCTCCTGGCTCCCGTCCTTTCTTCACCGACACCGACACGTCAACATCCCACGATAAGCT